CCATAGGCTCGGTTGTCGGGCAGGCTGGTGTGCGCCCTGACCCCCGGGGGAATGACCCGCACCTCRTTAATGTAAACGACACACGGGAAACGAACGACATCAATATTGGTACTTTGCTGTAAAACGAAGAACAAAGAAGCCTTAAGAAACATAAAACTGGAACACAGCAATGTACTCATATTCTTTGGCATAAGAGAGACAAATTAAGAGAGAATAACAGTAATTCTAAAATTAATTTCCTTTAAGAGTAAAACTTCCATGACTGTTAGACAGGACAGATTTTTTTTTTTTTTTTTTTTAAGTAAACTTCTGGCACATGCTATATACTTAACATATAATTTCCCCAGGAAGCGTTACTGCTTCATACACACAAACAGTTCCCGTTTGAAAATGACTGAAACAGTAATAGTTTTTTTTTTTAATGGAAAGATATGTTAATAAAAATAGGAACATTATTTTAAAAAATGGGGGGACTTTCAGTGTATATTTCCCTTTTAATAACCCGTATCAAATTTCTAACCCAAGAAAACGTGTGGTCATATGATTTTAAAAATCAAGGAATGTTATGTACCAAACATCACGTTAGAAATATTTACGATATCMTAAGTACTGCTTTGTTAGAGTCACACAAAGCCACGTATGATGTTTACTTCCCTGATTTTGCAACAACACTTAAACAGCTTTTGGAAATAACATTTCCATTTCATCCCAGCATTTCTTCCCAACAATAGCAAATACGAAGCAACTTGCGCTTCGGCACTCCTAAAAGTTGTATTTGAACAAACTAGAAAGTCAACAGAAAGCCACCTTGAATTCCCATACATTAGCCACCAAACAGTTAATGCTGCAAGTCTGCTCTCACTAAACTCCTTATATTAGATCATCTCTACCTGTAAACTTATAAAATATAAAAAAAAAAGTCCAACCATAAAGACTATTTCTTAAACAGAAACTCAAAACTACATCTCTCATTGAATGTTTCCAAAGTTGTATTTGCAAACAACACACTAGGGAAAAAAATCCTCAACCAATATGTATCTACTAACATAATTTTAAAAAAAAAATGAAAAGACTGATCTGCACTCAAAAAATTTACATATCTTTCACCAAAATAAAGCAAGCAATAAAACCCATACAATCACAAGAACATGGCACGGAGATACTAAGATTCTGAAAAAGCTAACAAATGAGGAAAGAACTAAAAGTAAAGCTTTAAAATACTATTCAAGCMTGTGCTTTGAGGCATATATTATTTTTATGAAGAATTCCATGTTCTAGCATGGAAATGCAGCACCTGGCCCCAGGGGCTGCCACGCTGTGACCAGCTTGGTAGGAACAGGCCCAGCTCACTAGGACAGCACACAGGTCCTTCTAAGGAGCGTGGGGCTGTCACCAGCAGCACCAGAAAGCTGCAGGAAACGTCGGCTTTGCCTTTAACAACGTATATAAGCCATGCACGAGATAGGTGTTTCTGCAGGAAGACATTCTGCTGAACACCTTTTTAACCAGCAATTAAAAGGCGGCTGCAGAACACARGTCAAAACGCGCAGCTAAATCCAATACTTTCGTTAAGAAGCTAGGCAGCCCCTTCCAGCAAGCGCCAGCTCCAAGGCAGGTYCCACAGCTCACTTCGGTTATTACTACAACGCAAAAGATATTGTTCAGCTTCCAGAAGTGTCAGTTCCCTAAGTGTCACAGACAAGGATGAAAGCGCTAAAAAGCTTTAACCGATTCAAGGTTAAAGGCCCCTCCGCCTTCTCTCCCCGGCACCGAGCGGGCGGCCCTGCCGGGCCGGGCTGCCCGC